TTTGTTTCCTTTGGAGTGGTGGGTTGCTGCAGTCTGACCCTTGTCTTACTGAGCCTATTCACGACTAAGAGGTTTCTCGCCATTTCTGAAAATGAACCACTGTTTTTTAACCCACTATAATGCTTCCCACTTTTGATATATCATGAATATAATTTGCTAAGCCTGGGCAGATATAAAGTTAATCTCTGTTAATATAAGACAAACTGCAGTAGTACTTTTTTGTCTTTCTAACCCTTCATCTTCCTCTTCATGATCCTCTCTGTTCAACCACCAGTGTACCATGTTTAGCCAGCTTGGCTCCACTTCCCTTGCATCAGATGGTAAAGTTGTTTAAGTTGGACCTCTTCCTAACCCCAGCTGCACAGAATGGCAGAGGTAATTTCGCAGTTCGCTCAAGAGAGACCCAGTCGCTGTGACCAAATGCAACCTTCTTGTAAAAGCAGGCAATATCGTTTCCAAAGGTTACGAGCTGGATTAGACTAAGCATGAGGCAGTAAAGAATGTCAAGGTTTTAAAACGGTTTATGGTTCAAAACCACAAAAATTTTCCATACAACTGTTGCTACAGTTCAAGGTCCTTTCTATGAGACATCAGAGAAAGTGTCGGAGTGACCCGAGGTTTCTCCAGCTGCGTGGGCACAGCACCGTCCCGCCCACATATGTCGCTGCACCCTGCCAGTCAGCTGGCTGAAGGAAATGTCTTCCACTTTTCCTGGTGTGGAATCTTAAGGATCATACCATCCATCACATTTATTCAGCTGGCATGTGAGTGAAAGCAAATAACTCTCGCACTTCTAAATCTCTGTCTTATGCTGAAGAAGGACTCTGCCTGTAAGTGTGGTGATATAGTAGCAACACAAAAGCTGACGGGTTAATTAATCATCAAATTGATTAAAAGGGCAATTAGTATCATCATCCAGAAAATTGTGGATTAAATGGGATACAGGTTGTAATAGCTATTTTGATTTGAGGCAGTCTGAGACTGGGGCACATTACATTCTTAATTAATGATTAATGATAAACTGGAGGGCAGGAAGCCGATCAAATCCAGGTGGTGAGTTGATCGAGGATGCGAGAAGCAGACACTTCTGACACTGTGTTGGTCTCTAGTTTTCACTTACAGGGTCTTGTTTGTCATATTAAAAGTACCTGTCGAAAATAACCTATAAGCAGGTATTAAACTAAATTCTTTCTTTTTACACTCTTACCATCATAGCATGCATCGTTTCGCGTTTGTGTCAAATTAGTTTGCACACATTATATGTGCATCATTACAACAAAATTTACACAATTGCTTATCAAATATAGCAGCAATAACTCAATAGAACCATCACTTGATCTTGTGCAAGCACTTCAGCTGAATTGATGAAGATTCACTTACATCAGCATGCTGAATACTTGAAATCAAACTGATAGTGTGACAATTTATTCAATTAAATTGGCTAATATTTATCTGACCACTTGCAGGCCTTCATAAGCATTAAGTTACATTACTTATTGCTCTGTTGATTCTTAAATATTGAAAAAAATATTAGTTTAAAATACAGTGTTAATTTCAATAAATATGTACAATTTAAATTGGGAGACATCAAAAGTGACACAGACTCTAAAAGCATGACACAGCTCCACGTCATTTCTTCGCAGTTATTGTTTTGACTGCAGTAGCAGTAATAGCTGCTTTTGTTTCAAATGAGAACAATTAGATCATGCTATTTTCTTTAAAACTATTGTGTATATAATATAGTATCATGGAACTGGGGTATTTTTACTCAAGGTAAAAGCATTTGTTACCAGCCCTTTCAGAGTCTGGGGCCTAGACTCTAGGCCTTTACATCATTTATCATTCTGTCATGCAGATGTTTTCTACGCATATCTCTTGCCCTGTGTGAGTCACTGGTCAAAATTTCTCTCGAAACCTTCTTATAACTTGCTGCTTTTGCAAATTTCCTCCTGTTGGAGAAAGCCAATGTGAAATCCGCCTAATATTTTGTGTGCCTTCTTCTCTAAAATGCAACAGGCACAGTAGTATTTTTACAGTACCTACTGTGTCTGTCACTTCAGACTCTTTTGGTGACATATCCTGTCATGCTGCCAACACCTCAAACCATCAAATACTCCCAACCACAAGCCTGGCTCCTGCCTCTCAGACCTGTCCACTTCAAACACCCTGCTGATACCTCATCCATCATCTGCACCCCTCCTCTCTGCACACTCTCTCCATGTTGGGTGAACACAGACCTGGTAATGAGGGCCCCTTGTGCCCTGTCTGCCTGTCCCGTGTCCCATGGTGCAGTGGGGCCTAGTTGGACACTAGCCAAACTGCCTGGGCCCTCTTTGCTCATTATTCTCATTACCTTACCTCAAATCAGCACAGGACAGGCTGCTGGGATCTGTCCACAACTCATAAAGTTCTTGGCTCGTTAGCGCAGCTGCCAGTGAGAGCTTCTGTCATTAAGGGTTTGCGCTGAGGTGGAGAAACTCAAATAAGTACAAAAGAAGACGACTCATGGTGGATCTTAAAGGGAATTTTGAAGTGAGGCTCTGTTAAGGTTGCAAGCAGGTAATATCTTACCTGCAGATAAATTGTCTTGTAGGCATCATGTTAACTTTGAATACACAAATACCATGGCTTTACGGTACTGACGCAAATATATAATATGCATATAACACATAAAGCCCGTATCACTGCAGTTGTCTACTGAACATAGATGAAGTTCATGGGTCCTGACACATCCCAGAGTAACTTTTACTTTCAGCCTCTAGGTCAAACTAATGTACTTAAAACCATTTAACAGGACCTCACTAAAACACTCCAGACCTATATTGTAAAGGTAAATTATTGTGCATGCAAAGAGCATGGACTTCTCCAGGATCCAGATATGATTAATGGTTGTGTTCGGCCCTATGGCGGTGGAACGACACAACATATTCCAAGATTCAAATGTAGATGTTGGATGGAAAGTCAGTTTAAAAGAGTTACAAAAACACAGCAGTCCAGTAAAAGGGCAAAAACAAACAAGCCTAAATTGCTCCTCGGTACTTGGGTGGTTTGGCAAGTTTCGAAGGCAACAGTGGCTTTGAGGCGTTTTGTCCCAATGAAAGAGCTAACTGTGTGGAGTGCTGCGCTGTCTGGCCCCAGCCTGAAGGAGGGTGGCCTGCCCACGAGCTGGATTCTCCCAACACCAGCAGATCAGACTGCTTTCAGCACTGAATAGATGATGGTGAGAGGGGAGTGTGGATGTGAGTGCGTGTGTGTGTCTACCAGAAGAATTACCAGACACTTTTAAAAATAACAGCCTATATGTAAAGCTTTCCATATTAGGAAGTAAAGAAGTCAATGTTGGAGTCACACCAGAAATAGGCCAAAAGGGTGTGTGTGTGTGTGTGTGTGTGTGTGTGTGTGTGTGTGTGTGTGTGTGTAGTTAAGGGAGCAGGCTTTGTTTATCCTTGTCACTTTGGGGCAGAGATGCAGTGTAATTCCCTGATGTGTGTTTACTCAGCCCCAGTGGGCTGGCCTTTGATTACAGCACTGACCACATAATATGAGTAAGTGTTCACAACTACTGCAAATGACAAGCACATGTAGACGCCAAACTGGAAACAATGAGGGACCTGAGGAGTCACTGCGGGGCGAGGAGACAAAACAAAAACTGTAATCTCGCAGTATGACGGAAACTAACAGTGAAACGTTCGCTGTAAGCTCACATCCCGGTCGATTCCATCAAACCCTTCCAAGGCTACAACTGTAAATTTCAATGGGCCGTTTTTTTTTTTGTTTTTTTTTTTCTTTTACAACAGACGGTGATTTTCCTATGAGCTCAGATGTAATTACAAGCTGTGTTGAGTACTCAATTAAAGGTTGGAGACGTCAGAGAGAGCGGAAAGACCTCCACTGCTTTGCCTCAGAGATGAGGCCGAGGCTGCGGCGGAGGAGTGAAACGCGGTCCGCATGATTTATGTTATCTCTTCACAGCAAATGCTTGCATCTCCCACTGTGGACCATAAGCGACTGTGTGTGTGTGCCTGTGTTAGCTGAACTCCATGTTGTAGTGAACACAAACACACATGTCTGACCTCTCCCTCTGCAGGTCACCGTCAAATCTCATTGTTGGATATTCAGATCAACCTGTTTCTCCCGCAAATGTCGTCAGAAGTTCTGACGTGTGACAAAAGTATTATTTGAATTTTTATTAGCACTTTAATGCCTGGAAATATGTATAATTATAAATACTTTGGATTCAATCTGAATCTACAAATAAAACATATAAATCTTGATATTTAGTATGCAAATGAGCTAAATTAGGTTTAACTCTTGCTGTTGCTTCAAAAGCAATCTTTCATATGAGTAGAATATGTATTTGAAGGCATTAATGTACATTTACCACTTTGGCTGTGTAAGTAGTTTGAAGCAAATTCATACACAAGTTGCTTTTTCTCTCTGCTCCCTCTTGGTTCCATACTGTCATCTTTGATTAATATCTCTGGTCATTGCTATGCAGATGATATCCTGATGATGTACATTTCTTTTCCTCCAAACGAGGCTTCAAAACTGCACAATTTGGTAAAATGCCTACATTCAATAAAATAAGCTGGATGTCTAACTGTTTTCTGACATTAAATGAAGAAAAATAACAATCTTTGCACCAGACAAATTAACTGTAAAGTTAAAGGAGATCCTTGGGTTTCTTGGTATTTTAGCAAAAATCTAACACTAGAAACCTTGGTGTAAATAATGACTCAGTTTTTTAAATGTTTTTAATCACTTTAGAAATATGTAGTAAAACTGAGCTCCGTTATGTCTCATCATGAAATGGAAATCTTCATCCTTTTGCTTCATCTCGTCTGGATTACTGTAATGCGCTCGGCACAAGTCCAACCAAATCTTCCCTGGACCAGCTGCAGTCTGTACAAAGTGCTGCTGCTGCCAGGCGTCTGACTAAATCTTCAACATTTTCTCATGCAACTCCACCGCTAATGGAGCAAATGCTTTTGTGCTTCCAGTGCATGCTGAGGTGCATTTCAACATCCTGGTTTTGACTTGGAGAGCTCTTCATGGGAAGTAACCAGTTTATATCAGCGGACGACTGCATCGCTACACCCCCACCGGGTCCTCGAGGTTCTGCGATCAGGACCAGCTTACAAAACTAAAGGAGACAGTTTTTTCTTCCGTTGCTCCTACACTATGGAACGCTCTGCCTCTGTCACAGAAGACCTTTAAAAGTCACCAAAAAACATACTTTTTTAATCTGCTTTTATTTAATGTACCCTGTATTTTTACTCTTTGTTGAAGCACTTTCTGATTTTTCTTTTCTTGAAAGATGCAATATATAGTAAACAAAGTTTTAATTACTTCCATTGCTATTAAGTTTCTGTGCTGCTTGTCCTTCATATCAATTGCTTCTGAACCCAACGTAAGGACTCACAGAGACAACCAATGAAGTGAGCCTGCCTCTGAGCACAGCTGTTGTGTCAAGCAGAATGAAGCCACTATGGGAGCCGCTCCCTCGCAGTGATCCAGTCGGCTCTGTAAGTTAGCTAACACCTCTATTTCCAGGCAACAGCAGGCGCTCTTTTTCTGTCCTGTCGACTGGTGTTCTGGTTTGGGAAGCTGGCACATCAAAGGTTGTTTTGAAACTTTGAATTCGTCCTCCCTTTTCATTTTGCCTCGAAATTAAAGTTTGGCGTTTCAGAATTCTCATCCGCAAATTCCCTTTACTTCAATTTCTGAGACTCTGTAAGTTAGATAAACTTTCTATGAAAGTTATTGTTTAAACAGCTTAGACAATATTTTGAGTAGATTATCTCAAGTGTTTATTTTACAACCCAATTGCATGCCGCTAGTTTTGTCCCTGCATCAGGTATACAGCTCTGTTTGTGAGCAGGATCAGGTTACCTAACCTATTGACCCTGCGACACCATAAGGAGCTCTGTTAACAAAAACAAGCAACTTGGGTTCATTTCACATGACCTCCTTTGAGCTACCATGCTCTTTTGTTTTTACTTCAATATCCATGATCATCCAAATTGCATTATCACATTTTTGTCTTGTGATTTAGTCCTTCCCACAGATCGATTGAGTCCGTGGTGCAAGAACTGACAACTCTGGTGTTCTCAGCGTTCTCTGCATATTTTACTCACCGTTCTCGACTGGCACGTCTGACGTGAGCTCCAGTAGATAGGCACTAACAAGTCAACAACTGCGGCAAATTGCCGTATTTTTCTTTCTTTCGACGTTTTTTTAGAAGCTTGTTAGCTTCATGGGTGGCAGTTCCGACTGGCATGTGGTAGCAATATTCTGTCAACATAACCACAAACCTCCCCAGCAAAATAAGCGTTTCTGCCAATCTGCAGGAACCAAACTGGAGCTGCACATGTTTATTGTTCCCATTAAGATTTACTGGGAAATAGACAAGACATGCTGTTGCATCACAGAGTACGTAAAAGCAGCAGTTTGCTATAAGCACCGACCTACTGACCTTTAAAAACTTTATTACTATCCTGTTTATATATATATATATATATATACGTATACACCACAATAAACGCCTCATACCTAGCTGCAGAGAAACTGCAAACAGTTTGTGGCTAATATCAATTTCCTAGTTTAAGACTATATCAATATTAATGAATTGGAAGGCATTGTTCTGTGTTAATGCCCAACTGTGTCTAAGATTAAACCTTCTGATCTGAATTATCATCCTCAGATGAAAGAAAATTGCTAAGGATGTTGAGCAACAACTGGAGGATTAAGCACATCATAAACAAAAAATATCCATGGAAACTGTTGTAAAACAAGTATCTGTGTCCTCAGAGGGGTTATTAGACTTAAAGGACCAAAAAAAAAAAAAAAAAAGAAGAAGAAGGAAGAAACATCAAATCTAAAATCAATTCCTTCCAGCTGCACAAGCAAAGCATTTTCAGAAGATCATTTCTAGAGTCGGATGAGATGAAGATTGAGATATTTTCCTTAAACATGAAGCAAGTTTGGGGGTACCAGTGGCACAATATATTGAAAAGCTGTCATCATTGCAATACTGAAATATTGCTGTTGCCATGCAAAAAACCCCTCTGATATCAAAAAATATATTTTCACACTTTAGTGAGCAAAGTCAAAAGCTCAGTGAGAGTTGAGACGGATTGTGAAGATGTAACAGAAAGGGAGTAAACAGGACAGTGTTGTTTAATGTTTTGTCTCTATCATCCCCTAAAGCCAAAAAAAAAAAACAGATTCAGGACAATCTTTTCTTTTAAACACTTTAACACGTTAAAATCCTTTGAATTTCTTCTCTTCTTATCTATTGTGTGTTTATGGCTGCTGCATTGTCAAAGAAAGTTCCACGACTGTCACCAGAAGCCCTGAGAATTGTGTCAGATTGGTCCCCGGTGTAATCGTGTCCATCCCGTGTCTCACACTCCATTAAGATTAAGAGAGATTATGAGTCTGTGAAGGAGGGCCAGACTGTTTGAAAGCTGCAGGTAGATCTGCCAACGCAGTCCTCTTGCCAGAGATCTCTCTTATCTTGTCTTCTTGAGTGGAGTTTATCAAATAATGAAGGGCTGAAGTGTAATTATGTGAGGTTTTCAACATAACTCTGCGATAGCCAGTCTGAGTGTATCATCCTCCCTGCTGGAATCAAGCCCATCTCAGGGGAAATGCACACAAAGCTGCTCATATTTTCTCTGATGCCATTCATCTCTGGAAGGGCAAGTCCAGAGCCAAGCGAAAAAAGAAGCATCGCATAAATCTATAAAATCGGTTACAGCAGATGCACAAGTGATGCCCACTAAAATCTGGGGGGCTATTCTAAAATGCCAATTGTAGAGCAGAGGCTTACAGACATTTAGGGTTTTGTCAGAAAACTTAAGCTTAATACTCACAGCTTTTCCAAGGAGTTAAGTCCAATGAAGGATCCATTTCTCAGAACTCGGATCTTGTTGTGGCTCAGTATTCTGCGGATTGAAAGAAAAAAATACGTTACAGATCATCTATTTTGGCCCATTAGGAATGCAAAACTACCAGTCTATAACATCTATTTCACAGCCCATAGAGATTTAATTACACGTGAAATGAAGAACAAAGTCAAACAATGAAAGCAAGGAAAAAAAACTTCACTTGCTGCAGTCACATGAGAGATTAGCCTGACCAGAGACATTAGCTAAAGATGGCTGCTATTAAAGTTAAGACAGCGTAGGACAGGAGAGACGATGTGATTTCGAAAATCATTCAGAATAGTTTTTTTTTAAAACATGAAAAGAATGTCTTCACTAATGTGACGCAGGCCTTGTTAATTTCTTCTTTCACTTGGCGTATATGGCTCTTGTCAAAGGCCAAAGGTCAGGGCATTGCAGCGTAGAGGAATCAAGGATATGATCACTTTGTCTGGCATGGAAAATGGAACCATCAACAAACCTCTGACTATTTACAAGTCATTGTACATAGTTCTGGGCTGCACAGTGGAGCAGCTGGTAGAAGTGTTGCATTGCTTTCTGCAAGAAGTCTGCATGTCTCCTCATGCTCTGTCTGGGTACCTCTGATTCCTCTCCCAGTCTAAAAACATGAATGTTGGGTGAATTGGTCTCTCCAAACTGTACTACAAATGTATGAGACCCTGAAGCCCACAACTCATTTTAACTCCATTCTAGTTAACATCAGGATTTATCAGCAGCTTCCCACATAACTATTAGCACATAAAGTGATAACAAAGCATGTTTCTGCATCTTCTAAAGTCAAACTTCAAATGAACGCTTTGACAAACAGATGGCAAAAGTTTAACAAACTGTTAAAATAAACTATTACTGGAGTTTTAAACACACGGTGGACATATGGCATTTTGAGGTAATAGTTTTATTTTTCCCATTTATAGGCTGGAAGTTTTCCATTCAAGATTGCAGTGCAAACTGAGATTTTTTATTCTTATTTTTTTTTCCTTTGTTTCTTTTGTGTGTTAAAATACAACAAATGGCAAAATACAAAATCCAGTTGCATTACATTAAAAAAAAAGTTCTTCACAGTATTTATGGTGGTGCATGTGTAGAATTTAGTGGGGTGGAACTTGCTCTGAAACCCCACCATAAATAAGTATTTATAAAATAAATATTACAGCTCACTATGAAACCAGAAAAGTCAGCGCTGGTTCTTTTCAATATTAAAACTTAACCGACATCTGTGACCTCGCCAGTTTAATTTTAAGGCAGCAGACTTCTGCACGCTTGCCTCGTCTCTGTCTGGATCCACAGACCTGCCACGGCCTCGCCCTGGCAACCGGCAGCGATCATTAACACACCCTTCAGTTTCACATCGTCTCTGCTCCTACCGCATGGTGCTTAATGGGCTGTTTGTGACATTAAGTGCGTTCTTAATCGAGAGAGGGAAACTGCGTGTGTGTGTCCCTTTAAAAGTGGGAGCTGACTGTGAACAGTCTGTTGTGAGATTTACAGATTCAGCAGCAGCCGTCAGCCCCCACTGCTTCCCCCCCTGCCCCCCGTTTCCTGCCACATCAATAAAAACGCTGCCTTTAACTCCGCGCCTTCCAGCTCAAGTTAATGACCACATTTAATCGTCCAGTCTTGGTAATATGGGGATAAACTGGACTGACTCACCTCTTTACTTTCGTCTTTCACAACCACCCACGACATCAGAACAGTTTGAAAACAAAAGCCGGCGCATGAAGCGAATACATTTTTAATCCAGTTACCGTGGAAACATTGATCAATATTGTCAGGAAGTAACATTTCCCATAATTACGTTGTTTAAAATCAAAAGTCCGACTGACTCCTCCCCACTAATAATAACTGTATACTTGTTTTACTAAGCTTTCGAGACAAAAATGATTGTAATCTATTTAATACAGTTGCTTAATATGTTCCTTATTAGAGTTATGTTTCTAGAAAATGTAAAATGAATAAATGAAAAAGAGGTGATGTTTATAAACCCGTATAGAGTCTCTGGTTAGAGAAGAACAGCCTTTTCACGGCGTAGCCTGAATTTGAACCCATGACTCCTGAGCCGTAAGGTCTTTCACTCAACTTTGGGCACAGAATCTATTCTATAAATGGATGCAGACTGAAGCTGGAAACTGCAGAAGACCCGGAAGTGGCTGAATAATTCAATACAGATAGCAGAAAGTCACATCTGGGAAAGACACAAGGCGTTTAAACTCAAAGCAGACAGTTCAGATAAAGATAGTTCCTTTTTGGCTGAGCTTATTGTGCTGAACAATGATTATTTGATGGGGGTAGGACACATGTTGGCTTTGGTTGTGCTAGGATGCCCATATGTGTGTCTGTTCACAGGGACAGCATGTTTCTTTTCAAGTGTTCACACTACAACCATTGACAGAGGTGCATATTAATGTGACTTGTAAGGTGCAAGTCGCAATTTGTCATCATAATTCTCAAATTAACACATTAGAGCAATCTAAAATATACATTTCTCCAATAGACCGTGAAAATCAAATGCTTGCAAGAGCCAAGAGGAGTTGTAAAACCTGGATCTTTCTGCATGGGGCCCCAAAGCCTGAAGTTTGAAGAGTAGCTACAGCGAAACACATTGTTCTTTCACAAACAATGCAAGGAGCACAACTCTGAGAAAGAGGGTCAGGCACAACTCTGTAAACAGACAGAAATAGTCAAGCATTCCCATCAGGCTAAACAGGAAACCCAGCCAATTAGCTGTTTATTCGGAAACCGGTTTCGGAGGTCAGGGGTTGCAGAGAGAGCACTTCCTGGACAGCCACCAGACAGACGGAGCAGTGTCCGGAAGCAGGTGACAGCCGAGGCAGAGCGGAGTGCATGTTTTCATCCCCAGCAGCGTATAAAGAAAGTGAAGCAGCGACTCCATCCCGCAAGTCCACAATAGTGCAGTGCTGGATGGATCACTCCCGAGGTTTTGGCTTACATGGGTTGCTTGTTTCTGCACGCCATGAGACACTGATCAGATGCCAGATTGGCCCAATCTGCCTTCAAGACCTATCGGACGTACAACAGCACACGCTGCTAATTTAGTTCAGACTACACCGTGGACGCTATCTTCAAACCAGTTTTACCGTCTCTTATTCACTTAACCCCTTCAGAGCACAAAGGGGTTTTAAGAAACCAGATGAGCTAATTCAATTTATCCAAGCATGCAAAAAAAAAAAACATAGAGAGAGGCCACATGTCAGGCTTCAGGATCTTCTTCAGCCATTTTATTTAATTTATTTATGCAAAGATCAAAAAGCTTTAAAGGTCATATGAAGAGGGAAAGGTCAAAAGGAAGAACAGCTGCGAAATTGTCTTCTACTTTTCTCTCAGTCTCAAGAAAGAAACTAATTTAATCAATAAATCAATCTGCACAAAAGAGAGATGAAAGGTTGTTTTTTTTTTTAGGTTTCTTGAAATAATAAAATACATGATATTTCTCATATAAAAGACATATTTCACAACTATCCAGTGACTTTCTGAGGTGAAATAAGTTTAAACTGTTATGATGAACCTCAAATATGAAAGTGTGGCATGACATTGTGCCATATATTTAACTCTTATTTTGAAATATAAAGGAAGGACGTACTTTTCTTCATTTGTCCTGTTGTGTCAGACTCAAATAGTTAAGACTTCAGTTAAATTACCACAGAAGAAGAATCCACATCTCCAGTCCACTTAGTAATAAAAAAATCAAATAATGACAGACAACCAATCAATGAGAATACTAAGCCTGGCTAATTGTTAGCTGCTAATGATGCTAAAGTTAGCTGCCGCTTCACAGGCTGATAATTAAAACTAAAAGCATGTTTCACTGTTAATTATTGATCACTTCCTGTTCAGAATCAAATATAAGCTGAAGTGAATTTTCACCACTTTAGAGTGTGATCATTAATTACGTATATTAGAATATTACTTTGTACTTTTAGCACAGTTGTTTATTTGCAAGCAAATATGGCTGCAATAGTATGTCAGTCACAGTTGTTTCACATCAAATTCATAGTAAATGGTGAAAAAAATGAGTGGTGTTGTTTTCAAAAGAAAATAAAATCCCTACGGTTTTCATATTAATTGTTTTGGGAAACAAATAAATCCAAGTAAAAGGTGTTAGACACAAGGTAATTGGAGAAAGTCTCATTGGATATTTGTTCCTGTTAAAGTTATATTGCAAGTATATTGCAAGTTTTTATTTGATATATTATTTAAAGCTTGCTATACATTGTCTCTTGTCATTTACTTTTTTTTACAATGTTATTATCCTGTATAGTTATTTAAAACATGCATCTCTTGAAAATCAGGGGCAAATGTCTCAATGAGATTTACCTTTGTTAAGAAAGGGAAAATAGAAAGTCTGACACTTCAATAAAGAGCTGTGCATTTGGTGGATGTGGAAAAAACCTGGTGTTCAGTGACAACCTGGTGAAGAAAAGCTCAGAGGGAAACGATATTCCTCTGTCTTCTGTCCTGACAGCAGCCAGAATGCCGGATGTCCTGTGAGTTGGTCCTTAACACTGAGAGCTCGGTGTCTGTACGCTTTCACTCTTCATCCTGCTTCTCTGCCAGACGCACTTCAAACTTGCTTGATTTTTTTTGTTTTTTTTTTAAAGCATTTACAGGAAATACTCCAGTGTGGTTTGGCATCTAGCGTGGGATATTGATGAGAAACACTTGAGTAAAAAGCACTGATTTCAAATGGTCTTTGTTGCCCAGTAAATATTTAGCTGGACTCTGACGGAGAGCTTTGCCTGCCCTGATGGTTCCACAGCAAAAGGGTCAGAGAAAAGACATATGTAAGATTCATTAATGGAGTCCACTCTTTCGTCTTCTTTTCTAAATGTGCTGAACTTCATCATGATCAATGCAAGTGTTAAAGCCACTTCTCTCCAATATGGTATTATTGTTCTTAAATAAATGACATGGAGATAGCCGAACACAAACCAAAGACGGCCAAAGTCTGAGACAAACATAACTACCAAGTGGCTTTCTTGCAA